TCAAACTCACAGAGATCCTCCTGCCTCTGCCTCCTGAGTGCTGGGATTAAAGGTGTGCACCACCACCACCTGGCTATTTTTTTGGTTTTTCTTTGTATAGCCTTGGCTGTCCTGGAAATACAGATCTTTGTAGACCAGACTGACCTTAAACTCACAGAAATACACCTGCTTCTGCCTTCCAAATACTGGGATTAAAGGTATATACCACTACCCCTGGTCTGCTGTGGCCCTTTAATACAGTTCCTCATGCTGTGGAACCAAGATAAAATTATTATTACTGGGGCTGGAGAGATGGCTCAGAGGTTAAGAGCACTGCTTGCACTTCTAGAGGCCCTGAGTTCAATTCCCAGCACCCACATGGTGGCTCACAACCATCTGTAATGAGATCTGGTGCCCTCTTCTGGCCTGCAGACAGACATGGAGGCAGGATGTTGTATTCAAAATAAATAATTCTTTAAAAAATTATTATCACTATAAATTATTTCATTGCTACCTCATAACTGTAATTTTGTTACTGTTGTGAACTGGATGTAAATATTTTATATGCAGGGTATCTGATATGTGACCCCTGTGAAATGTTTTTTGACCACCACCCCCCAAGAGTCAGTAACCTCAGGTTGAGAATCACTGATAGGCAATACAGAGATAATGAAAAGGGCCAGTTGGGGCTACTTTCCAAGCAAGGGAACAGGGGTGAGCACCAGCGTGGACAGAAGAACTAGGCCTCATACATAGATGGGTAAGTCAGGCTGGACTACAGGAGACGTAAGGAGAGACAGCTCCCCGTGCTGTGGGGCCACGTTGGACGATGGCTGAGCCTCTCTGTACCCTGGTTTCCTCATTTGTACAAAGGTGACGAAGGGTTGATTTAAAGGACTGTGTAAGGAACAGATGAGCTCAACAATGGGAGATACTTAGAACGATCTGTTCACACAGTCTGAGTTCTATAGCTGCCCATCAGAAAGATCAATGAGAAAAGTAAACGAACCCTTTCAAAGCTCTGCTTCTAGGTACACCACACTCAGGTCCACTATCACTCTCTGTGGTGACTGAGCACGGAGGCAGCTGTATCCCAGAACCTGGAAATGTTTTTGGAGTGTAGGAAGGGCCAGGACTTGGAACAGAGTTGACTCTGAAAGCAGACAGCTGCCCCCTTCTCCCAAGTTTGTTTGTTTTTAATATGGAGTTTGAAGAAAGAACAAGAAGCCATTTTCCCACCACTCTGGCTTTCTCTCCAACAGAAAAGTGCCCCCATGTTCAACTTCCTTGGTCACGAAACGATTAAAAAGAGAGAGAAGAGAGAAAAATAGCTTAGCCATAGAAAGGAGAAAAATGAAAAGTAATTGACTAAGCAAACCAAAACAGCAGACCCCAGCAGGAAATCACAGTAGTAAGTGTAGCGAGAGACCACACAGGGGTTCCAGGGCCACAGGGGTCCCACAGCCACAGGGAGTCCCAGGGTCACAGCTCCTTGTAACCCTTCATGCCTAGTGCAGTGGCCCCCAAGCACAAACCCCATCCAGTGGGTGGCCAATCTGGGCACAGGGTTGGAGACAGGTGCTGACAGCCCCTCTGTCACACTGCCATGTCCCTGAGGCAGCATAGCATCCTCAGCCACTCTGGCTGGCCATCTCCCTTAGTGGACAGGTCCTGCATCATGACAACCTCCTAGGTTAAATTCTTTCTGTTAAACATAGAAGTAGATGCTTTTGAGGGCCTCTACTCCCCCCACCCACATACACCCATGTTTTTTTGGAGACCAACTGACTAGTCAAACCTCTGGGTGGCGTGGTACCAAAGACCCCAGGTCCTTTAGGTCTGACAGAAAGCCAACAAGGTCCATCTTCAGTTCAATAGCCCAATGTCAACCCTTCTCCAACCATATAACCCAGGCTCCTAAAGAGTTATCAGAAAGCTTGAAATCACAAATCCGAACCCCTGTACTTTATGAATTCAAGGTGACACTGTTTCTATTCTAAGCTCTAAAAACTACAACATTCTGATTTCTTCCCCAAGACTACAGAAAAGAAAACAGTTGCTGCTTTTCTCCACCTTTGCAGAAAGCCCTCCTTTGATTTGCCAAGGGGAATTAGTGCCACAAGCACAGAGAATTACAGCAGTGGATGGCAAAGATGTGCAGAGGCTTGGGGACTTAATTTCTTCTCCATTTAGTGCCATTTTTCAGAAGCACGGGAGTAATGGGACATAATTTAGTCATCAATAGGGATCACAATACTCTCTCCCAACTGACTTCGGAAATCCTCTGGACTCTCTTGGTGTTACAGGCAAGGTGGGAAAGGGTGTAGAATTACAATTGCCTTTCTGTTGACATTTAGCACAGCGGCTATGGGTCTTCAACAGAATCTCTCGGTTTGCAAGGGAAGGTAGTAACAGCAGAGAGCCTCCTCCTCCCCAGCTACAGCTAAATAGCAATCTCCACAAGAAGCCTTTATTTTTCTGTGATTTAGACTTTTAAGGCAGCAATTTTATCTATAACATCTAAGCCCAGAATTTATTTTTAGATTCTTCAGAAAGAAGGTTGTGCTCATTCAACTTTGCCTGACAATATAAGGGGTGGGGGGATATTTTTTTTAAGTATAGATTTTAATTAGCTAAGCAATTTGCTTTTCCCCGAACCATCAAACCTTGGTCGTGGCCAAAGGCACACGGAACTCTGGTCAAAGGAAGGGAGCAATGACAAGGGCTTGCAGCAAGCTGCAGTTGCCAGTAGTCTGGCTAGTGATTTGCATATTTTTTCATGACCTATTAACAACACTTAGCTTTGAAATGAAAATTGAATGATTAAAGAAAGTTTATCTGGCGGTCATTTTTAGAACATAGAGGTAAGGTGTATTTTCACCACAGGCTTGCTGAAGCAACTGGGATACACTCCTCAGAGCCACACCTGGGGCTTCTCTTGACCTCCACTGGAGTATATCATGTATGCCCCCTCACCCCACCCCCAGGGAATGTCATGGCTCACGGCTCAGGAAAGTTGGCTGGCTCCAAGAGTCCCTCAGGCTTTTCTAAGTTTCTAAGTTTCCTGACAACTTAGAAAGGCACCCGAGATTTCATTCTGGTAGCTCATCCTCTCCCAGGGTGAGGGGATCTTTTGCAGAATTTTCAGATCAAACCCACCAGTCCTGCTCCAGGGATCCTGCCAAAACTCCATCTTTTACATGTGCATTTTCTTCAGAACTTTCCAAATCTCTGTGCATTCACTAAAAGGTTCAAGAACTGCCTCCAAGCTTGAGTTGATACTTAATGGGGGGGAGGGGGAGGATTCTCTTTTGATCATTTATGCACATGTGAAGCCATGAAATAGGGACACTTGGATAAAAGCAATGGGCCCCTGAGGACATTGTAAAGCCATTATCCACAATACTGGAGTCTACTTATCTCTATATGTTAATGTCTTTGAAAAGGAAGAAATGGTTTATTCACTTTGTGAGTCTGAGTCTGAAAAAGTCACCCAGAAGTACTAAGAATAAAAAGAGAAAAATTGCTCCCACTCACCCACTCTCCTCCTTAGCCATCTACCTGTCCTCCACTGCGGAAGCTTCCACCAATGACAAGGCCAATGCCTTCCCACCAATGACAAGGCCAGTGCCTTCCCACCAATGACAAGGCCAATGCCTTCCCACCAAGGACAAGGCCAGTGCCCTTCCCACCAATGACAAGGCCAGTGCCCTTCCCACCAATGACAAGGCCAGTGCCCTTCCCACCAATGACAAGGCCAATGCCTTCCCACCAATGACAAGGCCAGTGCCCTTCCTACCAATGACAAGGCCAGTGCCCTTCCCACCAATGACAAGGCCAGTGCCTTCCCACCAATGGCAAAGCCTGTGCCTTCCCACCAATGACAAGGCCAGTGCCTTCCCACCAATGACAAAGCCTGTGCCTTCCCACCAATGACAAGGCCAGTGCCCTTCCCACCAATGACAAGGCCAGTGCCTTCCCACCAATGACAAGGCCAGTGCCCTTCCCACCAATGACAAGGCCAGTGCCCTTCCCACCAATGACAAAGCCAGTGCCCTTCCCACCAATGACAAGGCCAGTGCCCTTCCCACCAATGACAAGGCCAGTGCCCTTCCCACCAATGACAAGGCCAGTGCCCTTCCCACCAATGACAAGGCCAATGCCTTCCCACCAATGACAAAGCCTGTGCCTTCCCACCAATGACAAGGCCAGTGCCCTTCCCACCAATGACAAGGCCAGTGCCCTTCCCACCAATGACAAGGCCAATGCCTTCCCACCAATGGCAAGGCCAGTGCCCTTCCCACCAATGACAAAGCCAATGCCTTCCCACCAATGACAAGGCCAGTGCCCTTCCCACCAATGACAAGGCCAGTGCCTTCCCACCAATGACAAAGCCTGTGCCTTCCCACCAATGACAAGGCCAGTGCCCTTCCCACCAATGGCAAGGCCAGTGCCTTCCCACCAATGACAAGGCCAGTGCCTTCCCACCAATGACAAAGCCAATGCCTTCCCACCAATGACAAGGCCAGTGCCTTCCCACCAATGACAAAGCCTGTGCCTTCCCACCAATGACAAGGCCAGTGCTCTTCCCACCAATGGCAAGGCCAGTGCCCTTCCCACCAATGACAAAGCCAATGCCTTCCCACCAATGACAAGGCCAGTGCCCTTCCCACCAATGACAAGGCCAGTGCCCTTCCCACCAATGACAAGGCCAGTGTCCTTCCCACCAATGACAAGGCCAGTGACCTTCCCACCAATGACAAGGCCAGTGACCTTCCCACCAATGACAAGGCCAGTGACCTTCCCACCAATGACAAGGCCAGTGACCTTCCCACCAATGACAAGGCCAATGCCTTCCCACCAATGACAAGGCCAGTGCCCTTCCCACCAATGACAAGGCCAGTGCCTTCCCACCAATGACAAGGCCAATGCCTTCCCACCAATGACAAGGCCAGTGCCTTCCCCCATCACTGCTTCTGTAAGCAAAGTCAGCCTCTCTGCCCCGCTATTCACCTACTCACCTTCCAGGGTCCTCCCTCCGAGTACTACATCTGAAGGACACTTTTCTTTTTCCAAGAGGAAGATTACTGTGGGAGACAATGATATCAGACTTAGGGTCACAGGCCAAGTGCCCCAACCTGCCACATTCAGCGTCCGTCTCACCTCTCCTCAATAAGCCAATTAAAACAGACAATCAATACTGAAAAGCAGGAAAAGGAGATGTGTTCAACCTGGCCACACTGGAAAGAGGAACAACAAGAGGTGTGCCTTCAGAGAAGCTGAGAGGTGCGCACAGAGAAATAATCAGGCCCAGAGTAGTCCCACCCTCCATTGTCCCTGCTCCAGAGCTCGCCTGCAAGGTCTTCTCATTCCTCCTCTGACTGCCCTGGGCCTTTCCTCTATAGCAGGAGGTTCCTAGGGAAATCTAACACCCTAGGATCCATTGATTCAATAATCTAATAGCCAGAGAGAAGGGCACAAATGTCTCTTTAGATAATATCCATTCCTGCCAAGCAGGCCAGTTACAAGAAGTCACCATTGTGGCACTAGTTTTCATATGCACTTTGGCTTTTCGAGACAGGGTTTCTTTTCTCTGTGTAGCTTCGGCTGTCCTAGAATTAGCTCTATAGACCAGGCTGGCCTCGAACTCAGAAAACCACCAGCTTCTGCCTCCTGAGTTCTGTGATAAAAGGTGTGTGCCACCACCAGCCTGCTGTGGTTTGAACTTTTATCACTATTGTTCTGCCTCCCTGGTTAGACACCTGGCAGAGGGATTATTTTAGCCTTCTTGACTAGCCACATAGCACCAAAATCACCTTCCTGAATGAACAGCTGGATAACACTTCCCCAACATCCAGTTAGTTACATATGTTGGGGAAGTCTTATGTCAATAAAGCACTGTTGAGCCTATAGGGAACCAAGATAGGACGGACTAGGAGTCCAGGAGAACTCTGAGAAGGAGAAACACAAGGAAGTCAAGATGTAATGCCATGGGGGTAGGAAGCCCGGAACTATTCTCCGGTAAGAGAAATACTTAGATTAACAATTATGGGGTAATTACTTAAGTCAGAGCTAGACAGTAAGAAACAAGCAAGGCCAACAGCTTCATAATTAATACAGCGTCTTGTGTGTTATTTGGGGACTACAATGTGGCAGAGCCCAGGCGACTGGCGGGTGATATACCAAAGCGGCTAGCAAGGAAAAGCTTCATACATAAATACATTTTAAAGTGGAAATTCCCAAAGGACAGCTGGTCCCTGCCAGTCACTCCTGGATGTGAATGACTTCCAGAGAGATAATTAGATACTCCAAGAAACAGAGTTGACTAAGGAAAATGGAAGTGACATGGCGTTTGGCCTTTTGTTTTGGTGACAGGATCTCACTGTGTAGCTCTGGCTGACCTAGTGTTTTATGTAGGCCAGGCTGGCCTAGGTCTCACAGCACCCGCCTCTGCCTCCAAAATACTGGGATTAAAGGTGTATTCCACCATGCCCAGCTGTGAAGCTTGGTTCTTTGGGGACAAACTGAACCAAATTTACATCTATCCTCCGGGGATTACAGGTGTGTGCCTCCATGCTAGAGAGTAGCAATTTTTGAACCCATGGAACTCTGAAGAAGGGTGGCCCACCTACTATGGAAGGACTTAGGGACGATAGGTGTAGATGTGAGTGGGTGTGGACGTAGGTGTGTCTAAGTCCAGGACAAAGAAGGGTGGGAGACAGTATCCTTACTAATTCTGTGGCTTAGTCTGTGGCTAGATGCAGATATATTATTACCTCGTTAGTATGAATGGATAATTTAGAGCATGAATGGGCCATTTGCTATAGGGGCACAAGCATAAAGAGTACTTTTTACATTTTTGAATGGTTGGAAAAAATAAAAGAAGAATATTATTTTACGACATATATAAGAACTCTATGAATTCAAATTCCAGTGTTTATAAAGTTTTATTGAGACAGCCTCATTAGTTCATATATGTCTTTCCTATGGCAGCTTTTGTGCTATGACGATAGATTTGAACAGTTTTATCAGAGATCTTATTATTTGTAAAGCCTAAAGTACCTCCTCCTTCCACGTCTATAGCAAAATATTTCCTCTTTTTTATTTTAATACTGTCAGTTGAGTAGCCTTCATAACAATCATAACTATCATTCAACAAATAATATTTCTTCTTCAGAATATTAAAATGTAGAAATATTTAGAGAGTTGTTCATCCTCTGTTATTATACACACAGAACAAAACTTCATGTCTAACCATATGGCATTTGTTAAAGTGTGGTGCACCAAAACAGCTGGTAGATAGTATAATTTTTGTGTCCCATCACAAAGTAAATTCACATCTTGAAACCCTAATTCCCAAGACATGACAAAAGGATGTTTTAGGGGAATCATAACAGCATAAATGGAGAGCCCTAATGAATGGAATTAACCCTTACAGCATAATACCAGAGAACTAGCCAGCTCTTCTGCTGGGTGAAGCCATAGCAAGAATTCTCCATTTGTGAATCAGAACTCAGGTCCTTACCAGACACCTTGAAGTCTTCGGACTCCAGAGAAACAAATTTCACAGTCTATGGCATTTTGTTATAGCAACCCAGAAAGACTAGAAAAAACTTCATGTAGTATGGGCCCATCAAAAAAGTTCCAATTAAAAGGGTCTTCAAATATTTGCACTTAAATTCAGACTTGTTCTATCCAAGAGGTAGACTAGCCAATGAGTCCCCCCCCTTTCTTTTTGTGTCTCTGTATTTTCTAAATAAATTTTGTTGAGCAAATATCGTTTTTTAAAAAAAGGAATATATACATGTACATAGTGAAAACTTTTCCCCTCTCATTCCAGAATCAGATATGTTTGTTTGTTTTTAATGGAAAGGAACTGTTAAGTTCTTACAGAGGACCCAAATTCAATTCCCAGGACCCATATTGGGTGATCCACAACTATCTGCAATTCCAGTTCAAAGGTCTCTGGCACTTTCTTGAGGAATTTCCAGGCACTTGCACACACACACACACACACACACACACACACACACACACACTTTAAAAGAAAAATAGAAGAAAACTGTAACATCTTTGATGTATTTTATCACCTTATAAGGCGTAAGTTCAAGGAGACAGAGGAACAAGGACCCTGTCATCAGGCTACCCACCGAGCTTGAGAAAAGGATCCTGCAGGTCACTGGCTATGTAATTTAGATGATGTCAATGCTTTCTGTCTGTGCTTGCTTTTTTTTTTTTTTTGCCTTTCCAAGTTCTCAAAAGAGGGAAACAACACCCATTCTGTGCCTTTTCAAGTACTAAATAAGCTAATGCATACAAAATAGCCAATAACTCACCTAGTGCGGAGCAGATAAGCATTAAAAGTATTGATTTACAGCATACTTCATGGAAAAGTTTGGTTTTAAAGATGTTCTATGCTCCACAGTAGTTAGTCTTGTGGAAAGAGGCCTTAGAGTGAAATGCTTGGAGTGAGCAGAGTGGAAGGTGAATGGCAAACAGGGGACAGCCCCAAGGCCTGAGATGCCAACTCTCCTGAGGATGAGGTTAGATGAAGCGTTGGGGAGGGGCTCTAACGCAATTATTTGATCTCGTGGCTGGGGGTCAGCTAGATTGCTGAAGGAAGGCAGCAATGCTCAGAATGTCTCTATGGATGTGATAGGGAAGGTCTTTGGAGGAGAACCGTCACAAGAATCCACAGGAGAACCAAGAGGTTTTCATGCCTCTTATGTGAATAGCAGGGTCCAAGATGCCTAGGACACATCAGCTCCACAGTGAACTGGTAAGAAGTCAACTGTGGTGTGTCCAACACATTTTCCAGCTTAAGTGATTAGAATGATAAGGAATATTTTCCCACTCAGGGCTAAAAAAAGAAAGAAAAGTTGTTACCAAAAACGCCTTCGTGATAGCTATAATTAGAGGGAATTATTGGATATAATTAGATGAGGGATAAAAAGAGTCACTAAAAGCATTTAGAAAGAGCCGGGCGTTGGGGCAGCCCACGCCTTTAATCCCAGCACTTGGGAGGCAGAGGCAAGTGGATCTCTGTGAGTTAGAGGTCAGCCTGGTCTACAGAGTTCCAGGACATGCTTCAAAGCTACAGAGAAACCCTGTCTCAAAAAATAAATAAATAAGTAAGTAAATAAATAAATACATAATTTAGAAACTTAAGAGAGTAGATACTAAGTTTCAGAGAATGGAGAGGGGGTGATGGTTCTGTAACCCACTGCACATCTTCAACAGACACCAAGGCACATCCCCTGGGTAGGAAACCCTACAATGCGCCATAATCTTTTAGACCCCTTTGTTCACTATGCTCTACAGAGAATGCTACTTTTTCTTTGTACATATATTTCTTTACATATATTCATTGCATTGTGTTTTTTACTCTAGTCCAGTTTCAGGATGGATTTATCTAGGTAGCCATTGCTACACCACACAAAGCAAATGGAATATTCTCCAAATGTTTGATACAGTCTTCATGCCTGAAGAACTTAGGGTCTATATCATTACATTGCCATTTCTTACCACAAAAGGTGCATTGTTCTACTTAAACACCCCTCTTGAGGATGTGAAGGGGGGTTCTATGTCTTAAGAAGTACTCAGTGAGGTGTGGCTATCAGACTTAGAGATAACATGCGCCCAAGTCAGGCCTGGGCAACCATCCTCAATAAGCCAATAAAAGGAACTGAATTAAACATGGAAAGCAGAAAAATGAGGTCCCTTCAATGTGGCTACATCGGGAAGAAAGACAAAGAATTCAGCAACCCTCAAGTCTATCTTTGAGATCCTGAAGTGAGATCAACATTTAAATAGAGGGCCAAGGATATGTAGGATAAGCAGTTCTGGTCAAGGTACGGCCCCACCCACCTTGGCCCAACATTGTTCGGGTTTCAGTCATATCCTGTAAGGTGGGTTTGATTAGTTGTTTAGGGAGGTAAGTGCCCCCTAGATGCCCTTTTCTTTCTCCCAGCATGAGATTCCTGGGAAAATTCCCATTTCTTTGATGTCCATTCTTTTAATAGTCTGATAGTCAGATAGAGAGACATGAGTGTCTCTTTAGAGTATATTAATTTGTTCAAAGCTTGTG